GCTTTTAGTTTCAGACCACTTCGGTTCGGTGGATGTTCGCCAGATTAGTTAGTATTTAAATTCTTACGCCTTAGCGCTATTACTCTAAATACTGATTGAAGTCATTTAAGTGCGTTAGTACTTAGTAAAGGCTTGCTACGCACCATAGATAGGCCAATCTCGCGTTTAAGCTCTGAGAACAGCGACTATTTAAATTTCTATTTAACAGGGTTGCCACGCTACCTGGAAAACCGGGAGAACCGGGAAAAGTCAGGGAATTCGAAAATTGACCAAAATATTCAGGGAAAAGTCAGGGAATTTAAGTATTTTTGTCAAAATCTGGAAAAGTCTTTTTGTCAAAAGCTGGAAAAGTCAGGGAAGTTCATACAACGATCCTGCCAAGAAAAGCGATTTTTGCGCCGACGTCGGAAGAGGTAACTTTTTTGGCGAATTATGTATCACGTGAGTGTCATTTGGGTAGCTGGCATAGAGCCAATTTTCACAGCTCCAATTTGATTGTCTTTTAGAAAGGCAAAGCAACTTTCCCGCAACTTTTGGTTTCCAATATTCTCGAGAATCGCATGTGCAGTGCATGAACTATAGAATGTACCCGTTCTCGTATAAAACACAATGGGTTTAATCCTAGTATACGGTACCATGGAGGTTAGAATCAAAGAATATGTATTGTAAAGAAGGAAAACCTCTCTGCAACAGATGTGGCTGTGGCTCCGTTCCATCATAGAGGAAAACAGCTGTGCATGTCTGATATATCTGTTGCCAAAGCTCGAAACCGGTGTCGAAGTTCGAAGGTCACGTTATCAAGAGTTCATAAAATGAATATCGTTTAAAATTTCTTTAACCACTTGCGCTAAAAAGACGTGCCACGCACGTCAAGCTGCTTTTGTCTCAAACCGCGAGCGACGTGCACGTCGATAAGCATTTACCGCAAAAAGGAAAATAACGTGGTGCACACGTCGCCTAACAACAGGATTGTTTATTTCTCGAGTTACAGCTCTGGATTGCACTCTCAGATGCGGAGCGGCGTAAAATGAGACACTTTACCACTTGTTATATTGTAGCACACGGCACCGCAACCGTGAAGTTTAGTCTTAGTGCAAGTGTTTAAACTCTAAAGGAAAAGAAAATATTTTTTGGCGCAAGTAAATTAATTCATGGATTAGTTATTTGCAGGGAAAAAAAAAACTACGAAAATCCGTTTTTAAAATTATTGCGAAAAATCCAAGAAGAAACGTCCTTTGATAAAACGTTTCTTCTTGGATTTTTCGCAATAATTTAAAAACGGATTTTCGTAGTTTTCTTTTTGTCAAAGAGCGTTTCTTCTTAACACGCGTTTCTCAATTTCCTGTACACATCGCGGAGAGGGAAATTCTGGCCGCCAGGTTCCGTCGCCAAATCCCCTGGCAAATTTTCCCTCCGCATTCTAGCGACGTAATAGCATTTACTTGTATGGAACCTTTTCTTCTTTACATAGACGTTCTTTGGTTAGAATAATAATGGGATTTGGCGACATCTTGATGCGCAGTAAACGGGTCATTTTGGTCCTGGCGACAATTTTCAAAATCGTGCCAAAGCCTTACCGTATACTAGAATTTTACCGCAAAATCTTTTTAAACCTTTTTTTTTTTTTTTTTTTTTTTTTTAAATAAATGCCTTGCCATTTTGCAGTAAAATAAAAAAAAATAGTAATCAGTCATCTAGGCTAGCCATGTAATATAACTATATTCGCTAAAATATCGTTGATTATTCTAATTCAATTTTTAAGTAATTATTTTTATGTTATTCATATAATTTAATGTTGCTTCTTCCCTCTAAATTTATTTATTATTAGTAAATAATATTTCCAAATTTCAGGAAATTTTCTCTGGCATAATCCTGAAATTAATTATAGCAGTATGATGACATACCATCACGAAATTTAATGCACATATTTTTTCCTTATGTATGCTGCGAAATAAATATAAAACACCTCAGTTTATTAAAATAGATTTCTTTCTTTCGTTTAGCTGCAGAATGTCTGCAAAAAAAAGCCTTACTTTATTCCAGATTGGGAGGATTCTAATCTCAATCTTCAGTGGAGAAAATAACTATTATAATTATATTTGTGTTTTCATGTGTTAAGGTGCCTTTTAAGAACATACCTCACGCAAATTAAATTTACCTAAAATCTAACCTAACTATTTAGCATTGCATTGTGATTTATAAGGACCGGATTAGCCTCGTGTTGAACTGGTGATGATCATAAGTAATAATTAAATAAAACATACATTTGTTATCCAATATATATATATCTTAAATTTTATTAAGTTTCTTAAGTGGAAAACTAAACAAAATTATCAAACAAAGTATACCAAGAATAATTAGAATAAATGTCCTCTGGGATTTATTGAATAATTAAGTGAATTTGCTACACAATACAAGTAATACCATAATTAATTTACCTCTTAGCACACCCAACGTACATTACGCGGATAGATTGGAATTTTCTTGAAACACACCTGGAAAAGTCAGGGAATTTCATTCTCCTGTTTGAGTGGCAACCCTGATTTAAGCTTTACTTTAATTTGTTTGATTGTTCAGTTTAGACCCAAGCGCGGTCATTATTTTTCTGTTATCACTCCTGAGCTGGGAGTTGCTGTAAATAGTGATTTAAATAAAAAAGTCTTTTACACCCTTCTGACGTAGTTCTTCTAGCACTCCCAAGAACATAACTGCATTCAGCTCACTGTTTCAAGATCAGGACCTTGATACTGTGACCATTATGTTTGCCAAAAGTAGACACAGAACAGTTAGTTCTGATATAGTTACGTAGCTAAAAGCGAGCAACCGTATGCTCTTACATCAAAACAATCTGCATACGTTCTAATCAGCAAAAAAATGAAATAACTTTAGGATTACACTAAAGTCAAACTGTGCTTGGCGTAAAACAATGCTGCAAAGCAATACTCTTCTCTTTGTCTAGAAAAGTAAAATAAATCTTTAAAATTCCAATCACTATCTGGGTACGTTCTATTGAATTCTAAAACAAGTTCTTTTGGAATTCTTTCTAACAAAATCAATAAAGTGCTGAAAGATTTTGTCTCAACTCCTAATGACTCTAAACTTCTAATTTGAGTATCAGCTTTGTTAAACAGCCTTCTCAATCCAGCTAAATCATTTATACTTCTAATAATAGGAATTTTAAGTAACTCATTCAAATGTTCTGTATAAGAGTATTCTTGTTATGAAATCTACCTTTTAATATATCCAAAGCAGCATCATAATTTTCTTCTGTTAACACGAAACCACTTATACAGTTAGATGCCATACCTCCTAAATATGACCTTAAATAATTATATTTATCTATCTTTGTAAGATTACTTTTATTATGAATAGCACTTTCAAACTGGTTATAAAATTCTAGCCGAGAAGCAGGATCACCATAATATTTACTGATTATCAATTTAAAAAGTTTAACTGTTTTGGTTTCTCTTCTATATCATCAAAATTAAAAGACTTTTCTCTTCATTGTTTAATTATTTTAAATCTACTATTATTTAAATTTTTCTATTATTACTATTTCTATTATTTGGGCTCAAAATTCCTTTAAAGTATCTACCTTATTCATAACATTTATCTCGCTAGAATCTTCCATAATAAAAGCTTCAACTTTGTTAACTTAGTTAATGTAGACCTAAGTGCGCTACGCTCCTTTCTCAACTTAGGTAATTCTGACATTTTACAACAATTCAAATTTCAAACAAAACATCAAAACAACTCCTACCTTCACTTCCTGCAAAATTCCACAAATTCCCAAACAAAGCTTGCAATTAAACCTCTAGAATCCACAGCTTCCAAGACCGACTCGTCCTCATTTATTTGATGGCTCCAAAAAATGTGAAGTATGCTTCTTCAAATTTGCTCCACATTTTAAATAAACACATTTAATTACATATTACATAGTAAATACATTTTATACAGGTCTTCACACTACATTCTCAAAATCCATGCCAACTCTCTCTCAAATTGAAACTTTTCTCACACAGTTGAGGGGTGCTATAACACTCTCTATGGGAGATCTCAACAGCTAGGCTGATTAAATGTTATCGTCAAAATGAAAATCACCAAAAGAATTTTTTCAGTCCTTTACATTGTACTAATCCTCAAACAGTTGAATCATAATACAGATTCTGAAGCTAAAGATTCTGTGTAACATGTGGAGTAACACACTGAAAATGCTTCCATATTATCGCACAGAAGCATGGTGGACATTCATTAGGAAAGATGATGTTTATTTTTTGGCCATGCTGCATGATATTCATAAATAATGTATACAGCTGACCATCTCATAGAAATGGATCTTTTAAGGTCCACTCCTGCTTTTGTTTTGTAAAATTTCATGGAATTAAATAGTAATATGTTATTAAATTAATAAATAGAATCATCTTCATTTATATTTTTTGTATTTGGATTTTGATTTATATTTGTATTTCAAATTACCATTTTTGGGGCATCATCTCAGAAATAAATTAATTAATTATGTGATAAATTGCACACTGCATCAATGCTAAATTGTAATTAATTGAAAGATCTTATTTAAAGAAGGAAAATTATATGTTGAGATAAAGGAAAAACATTAAGGTATTTTATTGAAAAATCCAAAATATAAAATGTTGTACTAAAAATGCCATAAGGTAAAAGGAAAGCAATTTTAAAGCATTGATGCATTTTTAAGGAGGATTCTTAAATGTTCTTTCTAGTTCCTGCTTGTTTTGCATAATATCATCAATTACTAATTGACATAAACAGCTTAATTTGTAACTTGACTGTATGCAAGAACTCTAGATAACAAATTTGATTCATTTTCTTAAAGTTTTTCCTTTGTTAGTATAATCAGCTCATCATGTAGGTATGCATTCATTTCCAAAATGTTTATTTCATATTTGCTTCTCTGGGTGTTGATAAATACTTATTATTCATGTAGTTGCATTATTCATATTATTCATAATAAATTTTTAATGTAGATTTGGGCAAGTTCATTTCTTCCAGATGAACCAAGAATTGAAGACGCCCAACAGCGTAAATATTATGAGAAAAATAATTCTCCACTACTTATTGATTACCTAAATGAAGAAATAAAGAGAAAGGTATCTCAATTATGTATGTGTTTTGAATAATGTTCTCCAGTTTAGTTTGAACATTAATTAATTTTTATAATCATTATTATGCATTATGAAATTAGATATATTTTAATAAAAATTTCAAAGTAAGATTTTAAAATAAAGTGCTATAAGGAATAATGTATAACAAAAAATGTAATCAAAAAGAATTTATAGCAAATTCAACTCATAATAGCATAAATGCTATTATGAGCTTTTCGTATTTTTGGTAAAAATTTGTTTTATAAGTGTAGATTGTAATTAAAAACGTCAGAGGCAATACCTCAAAATATAGTACATTAAAAAGTCTAGTAAAAGAATTTATGGTAAATGCAACTTTGAGCCAAAATAGCTTTCAATACTAAAACAAACAAGTCTTTTAAAACCATATTATCATCTTACATTCTTTTTATATTTAAATTTATTCTAAATACTCAAAAACTGGACAACAAATTACTTGCGTAAATGACAGAATAATAATAATTTTACTGAATGAAACAGGAAGATATAGAACTCTCAATGCTAATTTTCTTGTTTTTACATTTGTAGGTTCATAAATACAATTTGTGATATTATTTAAATATTTTAATAAGCCGATAATAATATGGCAACAGAGATATCTGTTTGAAGGTATAAGGTATTTCTCCTGCCTTTTCAGCATACCTTTCTGGTGTAGTGGTCAGCATGCTCGACGCGTGTTTGAGAGGTCCGTGGTTCGTTTCCCAGTGGGGGCATTGCTCATTTTTCATCTTTCCTTCTCCCCCCCCCCAAAAAAAAACTAATGTTGTCACCCAAAACTAAAAAAAGGTGGTGAATGATGATTCTTCACCACTAGGATTTGGCGATTGGGTCTCCTAAAACCCCAGTCACCCTATAAAATGGGAAGTATTTAAGGTATTTCTCTAAGTATACTGCCTTCTTAGCATGCCTTCACTGTGTAGTGGTCAGCATACTCAACGTGTATTCGAAATGTCCGTGGTTCAAGTCCTGGCGAGGGCATTGCTCATTTTTCATCTCTCCTGCTTCGAAATAACATAATGTTTTTACAGTGGAGCCCGAGCTAAAAAAGTTGTTAGATAATGATTCTCCACCACCAGGATTTGGCGATTGCTCCCCTAATGCCCAGTCGCCCTTTAAAAGAGGGAGTATTATAAGGTATGTCTCCCACCTTCTTAGCATACCTTCATTGTGTAGTGGTGAGCACACTCGACGCATATTTGAGAGGTCCATGGTTTGAGTCCCGGCGAGGGCATTGCTCACTTTTTCACATCTCCTGCTTTGAATTAACCTAATGTCTCTACAAAGTGTTTATCATAGACTCATGATTTTCAAATGAATGAATAACATATGCATGAGGACTGTGATAATTATGTCAGAGCTTGTAAGGGGTTGGATATGTGATAGCGCTAGTATTCCTTGCCATAATTATGTAAACCAACTTTGTAAGAAAAGGTCGTCAAGAAGAAAGATTTTCCTAAAAAATGAAAAAATTCGTAGAATAGCTATGCATTTTAGTTTTTTTCAATTAAGATGTTGAAAAGAAATAATTTACATGGGAAAACATTAATTTAAAAGTACAGTCAAAAGTCGTTAATCTGGACTCGTCGGGACTTCGGCGATTCCGGATTATAGATCATCAGTTTAAATCTCGTAAGATGGCATGCAGAAATTCTAAAATTTAAAATATGAAACCGTAATTTATGAAATAAGGAACAATTATAATCTAAAGGGTATCAAAATTTACAAAAAAAAAAAAAAAAAAAAAAAAAGCTTAATATTTATTTGTTTACTTTATTAAACATTTCTTTCAATGTAAGTTGTTTAAGTTGCTTCATTTTATATGATAATACTTTCTCTTTAATTCTATAAACAGACATAATTTCTTGTTCAGTTACAAAGTTCTGCTGTTCAAGTCTCGTAATTACTGTGTCGAGAATACCGACTAACTTGTCAATCGAAATTTTTTCGTTTTCACTAAACTCTCTGTCACCTTCTTCATGTCTTTATCCATTTTTTACAGCAATTCCACTTTTTGTTTGACGGACATCGAAACATACTTTCGTTTTGTAGATCCTTTGGGAGCTCCAGCATCGGAAATTCTATTTGACATAATCGAAAGTTCAAGTTTACTTTATAAAATTGCTCTTACAGTCTGCAAAAAATAATAAGCCGCATCCAATTCGAAGATTAAGGAACAACGCAATCATCAACATTAACTGAAATAGATAATTAGATAATTTTAACTTATATCGTCCGTTATACATTAAACGTGCACGCGTAAACACCTATGTGCATGTTTCAACGCGGTGCATGCGCAGAAAGTTTTTAGTTTTGAGGTCCAAATTATAGATTATATCCGAATTAACGACTTTTGACTGTATTGGTTTCAAATGCATTTATGTAAAAATGCTAAAATTTGAAATCATGTCTTTGGTGAAACGGGATTATATATGAATTTTAAACCGACTTTCATATGTTTAAATAAAATGGTTTTAAATTCTGACAATAGTAATTTTTATTAATTATAATTTTTTATTAAGCTTGAACTGCTCATCTGATTGACTGCATGTGTGTATTTGATATTGCTTTTTCCAGGAACGCATTGTACTCTTGAATGAACATTGGGTTGTATTAGTTCCTTATTGGGCTATTTGGCCATATGAAACTATGCTCTTGCCAATTCGTCATGTGCTTAGATTGCCTGATCTTACTTCTGATGAAAAACATTGTAAGTAATGTATAATTCATCATTTATTATTTTAATTATAGATCTTGAAGAAAGTAATTAATCATATATATTTACTCTTGAATTAGGAAATTCTTTTTATTTCAGAGTAAATTTAACATTTTTTGTGATGCAGTAATGTGATTTACTATATCATCTCCATGAATAATAACTGATTTATAAATTTTCTGCTTATTTTCAGCTTTAGCAGATATTATGAAGAAGCTACTAATAAAATATGATAACTTGTTTGAAACTTCTTTTCCTTACTCAATGGGATGGCATGGTATGTTTTATTTTATGTTTGAAAGTTCTGTTTTTCTTTTCTCGCGCTCTCTCTCTTTTTTTGGGGGGGAGGGGAAAGCATGTAAGAACTTCATTTTCTACCTCCTTTTTTATCTTCTTGCTATAGTCCTCCTCCCCAAGTTCTGTTTCTTTGTAATTTTTAATTTGGAAAATTTGTTACCAAAATATTCATTATTTGTTACTTTCTTTATAGGTGCTTCATAATTTCTTTATAGGTACTTTTCTGTTCATAATATAGGTCCCTGTAAACTATTATGAAGTTCCTTCACTGTATGGCTATAAGTGCATTTTAGACCTTAAAATTTGATTATGCTGCTGGCTCTTTCAGCTTTCAACCAGTGTTGCTAAGATGAGTCCAAACAATAGGGCAACAGATAGTAGTATTTTAAGAAGCATTTGCAAAATATGGCAATTATTACCCATATAACTTCAAATTGTTGCAAAGATTACATTTGTCAAAATATGGGTTTCTGTATTCATAAGACCTCAAGGCAGTGCCCATATTTAAGATGGCCCTCCTATAAACATCTTTTAAATTCCTTTAAATCTTTTAATTTTTGTAAATCATTAACCCCTTCGTGCCGACTGTCACGTCTACGTGCCAGCAACGAACACACTCACCTACCGGCCGATACGCAGGCGTGACTACTCGAAATGCGAGAAGCTTGACTCACATACACGTGTTTTTGATTATATAAACAAACGGGGAACTGAATGTTTCCGAATGGCGTGATTTATGATGTCTCTTTAAATCGCACTTTATTCGCACGTGGTAGTTGTTTATTGTAAGTAGAAGTTTTATATGCGCTAAAGCGTTGAGTATTTCGGTTTACAATTCAGTTTTTAGAAAATAATTATATCTTGTTAGACATGAATTCTTTCTGTTTTTACCGTTGCAATGTCAAAGTGTCGAAAATGTTTAACAGAGCATGAAATAGCAGAAATTATGCAAAATATTTCAGATATTGATTCTGAAAGATTAACTGAAAGACATTTTCCAAAACTTTGTTCAGAAGAGACTGATAAGAAAATGAGAGGACGATGCTTCGTTTGTTCACATTCCCAGAAAAATCCTCCAAAACGGCAAATGAGTTATTACGAGTTCAAGGAATGTAACGTAGGACTGTGTGTAGATCCCTGTTTTCAAATTTTTCATACGAAAAGAGAATTTAATTTTAAGTAATATTTAGTTTTCAGATGTATAATAATGTAAAAGTCATAAAATGGTGAGTACAGTAATTAAAATAAAATGTGTAAAAATATGCATTTAAACAAGAAATAAAGGTAATTAATTAAAGTATATATATATAAAAAATATCTATAAAGCATAAGCCGTTTAAATACTCTACAGAGCATTATTAAACAATGCGTTGATACTTCGGAAATTTCATCGATTTAGGCTTAGTAGCAAAAAAGCCCCCAGCCCTGGAGAGATGCTCGCGGAAGACACTGTCGGCCTCGGCGATATGCGCGCGTTTTCGCTACCCGGCTCGAAGGGTTTAACATTTACACTCTTAATCTCAATATATGAATGTTGGAGGTAAATTAAAATTATTTTTTTTATAAGCAGAAAGGTTCGGAAGGATAACTATGAGAGCATTTAATGAAGCAGTTGTAATGAAGTGCTATTATCAACAGCTTCAGTGAGTATTACTTTTGCTCAATTTTACACTTTGCTAGATGTTGTTTACATGTATAAAACACTGTTACCAAATTTTAGTTTCAAAAGAACAGCCAAATGCTATATTGGAATGAAAGAAGGAAGTCGAACAGAATAATATATTTCTTATTGAAAGACTGATCGATATGTGTGTGAAGTTTAGAAAAAAAATTTTAGGGAAGAATGATAATAATATACTTCCTTAAAACTGTAATAAATTTGTTCTTCTGCAGCTTCATTGCCTAATCAGCTGAAGATTTTCAAAAAATGAGAGGGGTTTAAACTTTTCTTCTCAATTCTTGGGTGTAAGGGAAAGGTTTTTCATACCTTGCTTTTAAATATATCTTGACGTTATTGCACTATAAAAGATGGTGAAATGTATTAATGTTGTTTATTCTCCCATCAATAAAATTCCGAGTTCCATACTCAAGGACCCCATTCCAAATATGAATTTCCTGGGGTATTTACAGGATTCCTTGCCAGTAAGATTTAATTTGCATTCGTCAAACTAAGAGAGCCTTAAAATTTTGCATTTAGAAACATGTTGCATATGTTAGAAAAAAGAAAACAGAAGTTTTCTGTTGCCCACTTGGTCCGAAAATCATACTTTCAATTCTTCTGCTGCCAAAATTATTCAAAAACATCTTCCATTGGTGAATTGGATTTTCTAGAGGCATTTCACACTCAAAAAAAATCTTTCTGTTCTAGTTAATGACACTAATTCCAATCCATCTTTGCCTTCAGCCTTTAAGGAATTGTGTTTTAGTTCTCGTTTCAGTCTAATTAGGCGTAGAGGAGTACGCAAGTAAAATTTTGTAAAGATTATTACTTATCATTTTAATTCTGTGGGTGTGCCCAAGTGGCACACTGATTGAATAGAGCTTAAAAAAGAGTGCTGAAACGAACATTGTTGTCAATGAACTGACCGATGACATGCAGAGAAACAAATAATACAGACTCTCAGTTGTCCTAGATTATCGGTGAGCCCGGCCTGGGCACACCTAGGGTTCGCCGTTTGATTTTAGGCAAGATTTCAAGGTAGAAATTTAAAACTAATATAGAATAAGGAGATTAGTATACAGCAACAGGGAAATTTCTCTTCAAACAATTCCTTTTATACCCTAAAAAAATCTGGAAGATTTCTTTGAAAAATGAGGGTCTTAAAAAACTAAACATGGCTAAAATATATGGACTGGTTTTGTGTTGAGCTGCCATCTACTATAAATAAAGAAGGTTCAGAGTAACCTATAAATTTTCCTTTTCATTCAATTTTTCTGTGGTACAAAAGGAAATTTTTAGGTGTGTCCAGACCCAGACACACTGTGCCACAAAGGGTTTAAAAAAAGTCCTTATTTCGAAAAAAAAGAAAAAAAAAAAAAAAAAAAAAAAAAAAAAAAAAAAAAAAAAAAAAAAAAAAAAAAAAAAAAAAACAAAAAAAAACAAAGAAAAACAAAAAAAAAGATAGTAAGGCAGGGCCAAATGGATTTTAGAATTAATGAATTACAAGGGTGCTGCATTCCTCATTCTCTCCCTCGGCGTTCTCTGCTAATATATTGAAATAACGAAAATTGTATAAGAAATATTTAGCTAGAGTTCCGCTAGTGAATTTATACTTATTTTCTAACGTATTTTTTATTTATTTTCAAAGAATTTTCCCAAACTGTAAAACCATAAAGAAGAATTAATAGCGGGAAAAATAAAATCGAACAAGAAATATCCATGAAGAAGGAAATTTGTGAAAATTCACTCCCTAAATGCATATTCTTTCTGAAACAGAAGAAATAAAATACTCTACAGTAAAAATCAGATCATATAACAAACCATAAATAAGACTGAAGAATATATTACAGAGTGCAAAAGCTGCAAGTAATACAGAGTACAAATAAGCTCTATAGATAAGAAACTACAATAAAAAAAAACGAAGCAAAATGTAGTGTTATACTTCTTAGTAATATCTTCTTCAGGATGTTGGTACCACGAGAAGTGTAACTATAGCCTTGTTTCTGAGTCATCAAAGTCATTATTTATTAAGAATAAAATAATTTTTAATAAACTGCTGACCATCCAAAATACACATCTTAACAACCAAGCAGCATGAAATTTGCATTGTATGTATACCAAATGGATAGAAGGATGAAATATGCAAATGATTACGATTTAAGCTCACGACCACTTCTTGGATGACTACAGCATTCTTTATAATCTTCATATAAAGGGAGGACAGATTGCCGTGAGATTTTTTGTGTGCGCAGCTTCAGTATGCTTTGTAGAAAGTCATGAGCATCAAGCACGTTTTTGAATTCGATCGACGCCGAATTGTAGTATGCGGAGATTGTGAATTATCCTTCTGGGAAATCGGTCATGGTGTCGGACGAAGTCAAGCGACAGTCATGCGACTATAGGAGGGAATGACTAACGAACAGGAGCAACTGCAACTTCCTCTTTATAATACTCCACCGAAAGACAGGCATTGATGTGCACTGTCATGTACATATTCCATTTTACACATGGCACTGATGGTGAGCACTGTCACATCCGTAACCATATCACAATGAATGCAAGTTGTAACACACTACTCGGTGCCTGCAAAAACTAAGGCGTTCTTCATAGTACAATGTACTGTTCACTAGGCATCCATTGCTTCATTGCTTCACTTACCTTTAAATCAGAGGCGCTTGCGTTTGCAGTAGTACACTAAACAGCGGAGATGAACATCCGAAGGCCTGACATTGTGTTTCCAGGCGAATCATGCTTCTGCCTGCAATACCACGATAGTCGGATTAGAGTCTGGAGACACCTTGGAGAGAAAGGATGCTATACGCTATATTTCTGAAGTTTTGCAGTCTATTCCTTTTCCTTACTTTCAGGGCTTGCCTCTGGCTTATTTCAGTAGCACAATGCGACCTCATGTTGCACGCAATGTTTATGCTTTCTCCTAAGACCACCATACTGCAGTGTTGCCCTGACCTGTCCGTTCTCCAGATCTATCATCCATCGAACATGTCTGGCCAATGATTGAAGAACGCTCAGCCAGGCATGGTGAACCTGCGAATGCACCAGATGAACTTTGGCTACGTGTGGACAACGCATCCAAAGCCTCTTTCACCTAGTGCCGCAGCGTCTAGCAACGGTTATTGACAAACTTAGTGGAAATACTCATTATTAATTTTATTATTAAAGAAGAATTTTCTTGTCTTCCTCAGCTAAAAGAAGACTGCATTTAAAGTCATTCAACATTTTTGTAATCTTTGAAATAAATTTGGCTTTGATATCTCTTGTCCTTCTTTGTGTCGCATTTTGGATGGTCGCAGTGTAAATTACTTAGTGATGTAGCTTATTCATTGCTGCAGCTTTCAGCGCATTCCTTATTACCAAATTTACTATGAACTTATTATTTTCAGTTTTTAGATTATATATAAATACGTACATACATAAATACATGTATATCTACATTCATGTGCATTTAAAATTAGATATACAATGTAATGTAATAATAAATACATGTATATTTAAAATTATACATGTTGTATGATCTTAAATTCATTTAGTGCGAAAACAAGTTACTACTACTTGCGCAATTGCCGCAAAGTAAATTAATAATAATTTATTTACTAAATAATATTGAAGAATTGATTATATTATCTCCTAAGTTTAATTATAGTAGGATTGTCTTTAAAAGAGTGAATCCGTACTAGTAAGTTATATTTTGAAAGATGTTTTTATTTTTAAAGTAACTTGGAAGTTAATTGTTAAAAATGTTTTAACGGGGACTGGAATTAAAATTAATAAATCATGAATAACAAAATTTCAATTGTAAAAGGAATAAATTAAAGGCAAGAATTAAATTAAAATAAATGCAGGTAATCATTGTCATTGATCGGAAATTAGTTGACTTTTCAAGGTAAACGAACCAGCTCCCGTTCAATGAACAATAATTAATAAATCAGTGCGAAGGTGTTTCGTCTTTACTCGAGCAATAAGGCTAAACCAAACCGGCAATTCAAGTCAGACCAAATATTTCCGTGAATAGAAGGGATTATGAACCAATGCTGATATTCAAAGAAAACTTATTCCTATTAAG